CCCTTGGGATCACAAGCCCGTCCAGGGTTACATATCTCCTGTCCACATCTAGAGAAAGCGTGCCTTCTCCAACCCTCCCACAGAAGTCACGGGCCCCCTTATGAAAGGTACCTGCTTGCCTTCTGTTTCCGTGCCTGGACCAGTCTTGCCTGACCACGGGATGCTCTGACCTGCTTCCGTCAGGCTCCTGGCTTGGGCCCTGGGGCCTGGCTGAAGTCCGCTTCTGCAGCGGGAATAGAATCATTCCCACCAAGAACCCTAAGGATGGAGGCAGAGTGATTTTTCAAGAGGTAAAAAAGAAATCTGAGTGGACCTTGAGTAGGTAGGCCTCCAGCTAATGTCTCCTGCACAAGCTCTTTAAAAATGAACCACAGGGGCACCTGGGTGGCTCAGTGGGTTAAAGCCTCTGCCTTCGGCTCAGGTTATGATCCCAGGGTCCTGGAATCGAGTCCCACATTGGGCTCTCCACTCAGCAGGGAGCCTGCTTCCCTTCCTCTCTCTCTGCCTGCCTCTGATCTCTGTCAAATAAATAAATAAAATCTTAAAAAAAATAAAAAAATAATAAAAATGAACCACAGCCAGAACACTGAATTGGATTCTTTGGCTGAGATCACCTCTGCCTAACTTAGTGTGACAGAGACTAGGTGGGAAGAAGCGGGACTCACTGGGCACAGGTGAGTGCGGACAGTCCAGGACGGCTCAGGGATCAGGCAGCAATGGGGCCTCAGTAGGAGGAACCGCTCTATGCTTTTCCTGAGCACTTTGCTGAAATGAATGCTGCCCAGTTCTATTTTCTCTTGCCTGTCGCCACACTCACCATTTGAAATCCTAGGACGAGAACAGTCGTCCATGATTAGGTTACAGCCAGGAGCTAAACTCGGGTGGTGACAGGAAGTAGGCAGTGGAAGGAGCTTCCGAAAGACATTTGGGTTTCCAAAGTGGGAGGGCAAGGTGCCTGCTTCTCTACTCCTGTCAAGTCTGTGCTCCTCTAGGGAGAGGTGACCTCCCAAAATGAAACTGGGGTCCTCTTATCCAAGAGGAATGGATGCTGAATTTAAAGAATTACACATATTCCCCTTAGGTATTACGTGATAAAGTATGTTAAATGGATCAAAGAATTGTTCAGATGAAAAGTATTGGGGCGCCTGGGTGGCTCAGTTGGTTAAGCGACTGCCTTCGGCTCAGGTCATGATCCTGGAGTTCCAGGATCGAGGCCCACATCCGGCTCCCTGCTTGGCAGGGAACCTGCTTCTCCCTCTGACCTCTTCCCTCTCATGCTCTCTTTCTCTCTCATTCTCTCTCTCCCAAGTAAATAAATAAATTCTTTAAAAAAAAGAGAAAAGTATGAATTAAGTGGATTTTCCTGAAAAGCAAGAAAGATTGAAAATAAGGGAACTAAGATTTCAACTCAAGAAGGTAGGAAGAGAGCATGAAAATAAGCTCAAAACATGAATTATTATTAAAAGTGGAAGCAGACATTCATCATCAAACAGAAAAAAAGCCAGCAATTGTCTAGTAAAAGTAATCAATCTGGTTCTTTGACTAGTCCAATAAAAGAGACTAATCTTTGGCAAGTCCAGTGAGGGAAAAAGAGGAGGTGGGGAGAGGGAGAGAGAGAAAAGACAAGGGCTCATAAGCGCAAAATGGAGATTTTAACAAATGATAAGAGTAAACATATTCAAACCTGCCAAATAAATTTGAATAGCCACATGCAAGATATTCTATGAGAAACTACCAACTACCAAAACTGACTCAAGAAACCTCGAAAGACCAAAAATCATAGAAATTGGAAAGGTAGTCCAGAAGCTATCCCCCAAATGGCATCCAGTCCAGATGGTTTTATAGGTGAATTCCACCAACCCTGCATTGAATGGAAAATCCCTGTGATCTCTAACTTTTCCAGACAATATAAAATTTTCCAACTTAATTATTAAAGCCAGCATAACTCTGGTAACAAAGCGAAACAAACAAACAGAAAAAGACAAAGCCCCTCAAAAGAAATCTACGAGCCACTTCTATTTTCTAACTTAGATGGAAAAACCTCTAAGTAAAATATGAGCAAACCAACATAGTATTGAAAGAATAATTCCTGGGGCACCTGGGGGGCTCAGTCATTAAGCGTCTGCCTTTGGCTCAGGTCATGATCTCCTGGGATCGAGCCCTGCATCGGGCTCCCTGCTCGGCAGGAAGCCTGCTTCTCCCTCTCCTCCTGCTGGTGCTCTCTCTTTGTCTGTCTCTCTCACTCTCTATCAAATAAATAAAATCTTAAAAAAAAATTCCTATTGGCCAAGTAGTGTTCATTCCAAGCATTCAAAGATGCAAAATTAGGGGCACCTGGGTGGCTCAGTGGGTAAAGCCTCTGCCTTCAGCTCAGATCATAATCTCAGGGTCCTGGGATCGAGCCCCACATCAGGCTCTCTGCTCAGTGGGAAGTCTGCTTCCCTCTCTCTCTGCCTCTCTACCTACTTGGGATCTCTGTCTGTCAAACAAACAAATAAAATCTTTTTTTTAAAAAAGGCGAAATTAGAAAAAAAAATTCAGAATGTTGCCATGTGAGGAATGTGAAACACAGATCACGCAGATCACATCAGTAGGTTCCAAACCAGAGGAATCCATTTTCTGCGTCTGCAAAAGCCTTCAATTTAGCAATGTTTGGAGCAGCCAAATCGGGCTCCTATACAGAAGCTAGTCACCAGACTTGGTTTCCCAGACTTCCTTGCAACCAGGTCACAGGCGTATGACTAATCTGAGTGACACCCAGACTTTGAACGGGAGCTGGCCCCACAAAGGAGGAGGGGGGTCCGGGATCCCCTCTGCGCAGGGAGGTCGTGGTGACACGGAGTCTCCATGGCTCAAGCAGTGTGGGCTTCGGGGACCTGGTCTTGGAGCAGGAGCAAGGTTCTGCTCACCCGACTGGTTCTCCCACTTCTGCTCCGGGCTCCGCAGTTCCCAGTCTGGTTCTCTGGCTCTTACTGGGAAGTCTGTGAACGCTGAACAAATAAATTCCTTTTCATCCTAAACTCGCCAGGACATTCTCTGTTGCCTACAAGGAGAAACCCTAATACCAGTATATCAACAATCAGCACCCCTAGGGCCCCACGCCCCCTCACGGCCTCTCTCTGCAGCCTCTCCCTACACTTCCCGATGCTCGCGTCCTCGTGTCGCCCTCATTCTCAAGGACTTCTTGTGGTCAGCAAAGTATATAAATGTCAAGTGTTTGGAGTAACTTACATTTGGTTCAAGTGTCCCCAGTGGGGAAGTGAGCAGACAGTGGCAGACTCACGTGGTTGTATGATGTCCCTTCCAGGGGACCGGAGGGGGGACATTTTAATCATTGGAAGGGGTGATGGACCAACAGACACAGTGGCTGATTTGCTGAAACAGGGCACCTCACTTGGTCTCGGGAAGTTTGGTTCTGTTTTCAAGTCATCTCTACACCCAACGTGGGGCTCGAACTCATGACCCCAAGATCAAGAGTCACATGCTCTACCGACTGAGCCGGCCGGCCAGGACATGAGTGGGCACCTTGTGGGCGCTGGGCATCATTCCCCCAGATTCGAGCCCCTGCTGCAGCGCACCCACCAGAAACCCAACCCCAGCTCCTGTCCTCCCCCGCTGCCCTCTCCCACCCTTGCCCCCTGAAGCCTAAACTGCTAGCCTAAACTGCTGCCCAGGTGCTGGGCAGTCTTAAAAGGCTTTCCAGGTAAGTACAGGTTGGGCACAAGGTGTGGAAGGGGTGAGAAGACAGTCCAGGCACAGGAAAGAAAGAAAAGGGTCTCCCGGAGTCAAAGGTGGAGTGGAGTGCTAAGAGACGGGGCTGGACACGTGGGCAAGGGTCAGATCACACAGGACCTCGGAGGCCAGGTCAGGGAGGCCCTGTACGCAATTCTGGAAGACCACTCCGGTCGGGGATGGGGAGAAGGGAGGTCAGGGAATCAGGAAACCAGCTGGGAGAATGTTGCCGTGAAGCCGGAGAGAAGAGCTGGTGTCCCAGACTTGGCATGGAGGCAGCGGGGACAGAAAGCAGCAGATTTGGGAGAGATCAGGAGGTAAAACCAGTAGGACTTGGTGACAGGTTGGATGGGGGGTGAAGAAGGGAAGGGGCAAGGATGACCGTCAGGGATTCTATTTGTACTGCCTGAGTGGCTGAGTGCCGGGGAGGGGGGTGACTGTGCTGTTCACGGGGTCGGACAACATGGGCGGGTCAACTATTTGGAGAGATGATGAGCTTAGCTTTGAACATGTTGTTTCAATGCTCTTGGGACATCCAGGGAATCCAAAATGCAGAGGGACCTGGGTGTTCCGGTCTCCGGAGAGGGGTCTGGGTCAGAGCAGAGGTGAGCCACTGGGGCGGGTGTATGGGGTTTGATAGCCAGGGAATAAACGAGGGCAATGTTGAGTGTTCGTGGAGCACAAGAAAAGGAGAGAGCCAAAGACCGAGCTCGGGGGGGAGCCTGGCTTTCCACGAAGGACAGAGGAAGGGGAATCTACAGAGACTGAGAAAGGCCAGAGAAGTCAGCGGGAGATGAGTGGCGTGAAAGCCAAGGTTGGAGAGGCTGTGGGTATGCAGTGCAGAAAGCGAGTAAGATCATAATGGGAAGTGTCCGGCAGCTACAGAGGGGTGGGGGGCGCTGGTGACCTCGACCACAGTGGAGCCAGTGGGTTGGGGGGACCCGTGCTAGAGAGGGGGAAGGTGGAGGGCGGTCAGGGTTAAAATTGGCAACTGTGAAGGGGAAGCAAGTGGCAGCCAGAGACTGGGCTCGGGGGTAGTTGGAGGAGTCCGCTCCCAATCCACCCCATGGAGATGGGAAGTGGGAGAAAGAGAGCCACAGGGAGGGCTGGGGACGGTTGTGGAAGGAGGTGATAAGGGCCTGTGTCCGGGAGGGCCACTGTTCCCGGGTCACAGGGGGGAGTCCCTATCGGGCCGGCATTTCCTCCCCATGCCCACCCCCTTCCTGCCCCTGCCTAGGCTCTCTGTGGAGCTGGAAGAGAGCAGGGCAGTCACACCCTGTGAGCAGCTCTGTGCCCTCGGAGGTCCTTCTGCCTGCCTGTAAGCTTGAGTTGGGGCCAGGGGTAGAGGCCGCTGAGGCACGAATAAGAATCTAGAACGTGGGGCCGTGGGGCCGTGGGGCTAGCAGTTTAGGCTTCAGGGGGCAAGGGTGGGAGAGGGCAGCGGGGGAGGACAGGAGCTGGGGTTGGGTTTCTGGTGGGTGCGCTGCAGCAGGGGCTCGAATCTGGGGGAATGATGCCCAGCGCCCACAAGGTGCCCACTCATGTCCTGCCGCCCCCAGGTCCCCATGCCTCTCCTCTTGCTGCTGCTCCTGCTGCCACGCCTGTCGTACCCCCAGGAGGTCTGTGAGGTCTCCCAGGTGACCACCCTGATGGAAGTGAACTGTGACAACAGGGGCCTGAAGGTGCTGCCCGCGGATCTGCCGGGAGACACGGCCATCCTCCACCTGAGCGCGAACCCCCTGGGCGCCTTCTCCACGGCCTCCGTGCAGTCTCTGACCCGGCTGGCGCGGCTGTACCTGCGTCAGAGCCAGCTAACCAGCCTGCAGCTGGAGGGGACGCTGCCTCGGCTGGAGAAGCTGGTCGTGTCCCACAATAAGCTGAAGAGCCTGCCCTTGCTGGGACAGGCACTGCCAGCCCTCGCCATCCTGGACGTCTCCTTCAATGAGCTGACCTCGCTGTCTCCCGGCACTCTGAGAGGCCTGGGTGGGCTCCGTGAGCTCTACCTGCGAGGCAACAAGCTCAAGACTGTGCCCCCGGAGCTCCTGCGACCTGTGCCCCAGCTGGAGAAGCTCAGCCTGGCCGACAACAAGCTGAATGAGCTGCCCCTGGGGCTCTTGGACGGGTTGGGGACCCTGGACACCCTCTACCTCCAAGGGAACTGGCTGCGCTCCGTACCCAAGGGCTTCTTTGGGAATGGCTTCCTGTCTTTCACTTTTCTCCACAACAACCCCTGGTCCTGTGACTGTGAGATCCTCTATTTTGCTCGCTGGCTGGACAGAAACTCCGACAAAGTCTACTTGTTCAAGGAGGGTGAAGACGCCAAGGCCATGACTCCTGACGTGGCGAGCGTGCGATGCGTCAACGTGGCCAACACGCCCGTCTACACCTACCCAGGGAAGGGCTGCCCCAGTCTTGGGGATGAGGATGACCTAAGCTACGATGACTACGATAACGAGGAAGAGATGGGAAAGGTCTCTGCCACGCGGGCTGTGGTCAAGTTCTCCACAAACACCAGAGCCCACACAACCCAGTGGGCCCCGCTGCACTCAGCATCCACGGCTCCCCCATACCGCCACGTGCCCCATCCGCCTTCCACCCTCGCGTCTGTGAAGAACCAGAGCCTGTTCCCCACCACGCCAGAGCCCAGGACGCCCACCGCGCCCCACCCCCCACCCCCCACCACCCTGAAGCCCACCATGTCCCACCCCTCCACCATGCCCCGGCCCATGACCTCGACCATCCCAGGGCTCATCACAACTTCTACCACGCCCCCGACCGCCCCAGAGCCTACCACGACCTCCACCATGGCCCCCACCACCCCACAGCCCCCCATCACAATTCCTACCACCCCAAGGCTCAGCACAACTTCTACCATGCCCCTGACCGCCCCAGAGCCTACCACAACCTCCACCATGGCCCCCACCACCCCACAGCCCCCCATCACAATTTCGACCACCCCAGGGCTCAACACAACTTCTACCACACCCCCAACTGCCCCAGAGCCTACCACGACCTCCACCATGGCCCCCACGGCCCCCACCACCCCACAGCCCCCCATCACAATTCCAACCACCCCAGAGCTCAGCACAACTTCTACCATGCCCCCAACCGCCCCAGAGCCCACTACCCCCACCACCACCCCAGAGCCCATGACGACTCTAATTCTCTCTGAACTGACCACATTCTTTGAGATCCCAAAATTAACCTCACTCCCTACCATTTTGGGATACCCGATAAGCCCCTCATCTATCCACCTCCCAGGGGCCCACGAGGGGGTTCGAGGGAATCTGGAGAGCTCCAGAAACGACCCTTTGCTCAACCCTGACTTCTGTTGTCTCCTCCCCCTGGCCTTCTATGTGCTGGGTCTCCTCTGGCTTCTGTTTGCCTCTGTGGTCCTCATCGCACTGCTGGCCTGGGCCAGGCATGCAGAGTCACGGACCCTGGCCACGGCCACACACACGACACATCTGGAGCTTCAGAGGGGAAAGCAAGTGACCATGCCCCGGGCCTGGCTGCTTTTCTTTCAAGGGTCCCTCCCTACTTTCCGCTCCAGCCTCTTCCTGTGGGTACGGGCTAATGGCCGCGTGGGGCCTCTGCGGGCAGGACGACGGCCCTCGGCCCTTAGTCTGGGTCGGGGTCAGGACCTGCTGGGCACAGTGGGCACTAGGTACGCAGGCCATAGCCTCTGAGGGTGAGCGGTTTGGGGACCTGCAGAGGCTGTGATGGCTTTTCTCCTCAGATCTAGGTGGGGGGGGGTGGGCAAGGAGTATGGGGTCGTGGGGGGAGGCCTTTGTCACTTTTCCTTTACCAGAAACCTCCTCTTCACAGCACACGCACAACCTCGGCGGAACAGCAGGGGTGGAGAGGAGCGGGTGGGTCACAGAACAAAGCTCCCGGGTTCCGGGACCACTAGGTCATTACTGTCACCTTGGGGGAAGTTTGAGGAAAAAGCAAAGGGAACAGAGAGGGATTCTCGCACGCATACAGGGGAGGGAACTGGGAAAGTGCCGTATCGAGAAGGGGGCCCTGATAGTCCCTGGGGAGCACAAACATGGTGGTTTCCTTTTCTTTCCCCGTTGGGCATTTCCTAGTTTTCCACCCTTGTATGGGATTTGCAGAATAAAAAAATTACCAAAAAACCCGTGTTTCCTCCGGAGACCAGAGTGCCCGCGGGGCCTATCACTTGCACAACTGAACCCCCACCTGCCCCTGCCCGAGTTGGCTCCCTCACCCACAAAAGCGCACCCGTGGCCTGGGGTGCCCCCTCTTCCTGGGGGGCCAACCACCAGGCCACCGCGAGCACTAGTACCAGCTCTAAACCCTAAGTCTTCCTGGAGCGGCCACTCCTGAGGCGCACCGGCCCCCTGGCATCCAGGAGCCAGGTGGGCACCCGCCCCACGCCTGCCTGCACCTGCCCAGCTCAGCGCCACCACACCGGGTCCTACCGACCACTGAGCCGCCCCGGCCAGGCGTCCTGCTCACACGCTGGATCCCACTTCTCTCCCGCTGCCCACCATCCGCCATTTTCCCTCACCACACAGAGTGGGCTGTCTTTCCTGCGGGGTCTCCAGCCCAAACCAAGGCTGGCCCCGTTCTCTGGGGCCCAGAGAACAGGAGTGAGAGCTGAGCCTTCCCAGCTTAAGACCCCCCACTTCTCCGGATGGCACGAACCTGAAAACCCACCCACCTCTGTCCTGCTTGGAAGCCTCCCGTGGGCACAGCACAAACCACAGCTCAGCCAGCTGACTTCTTACAGCAGATGCTTCTACCGCCGTGCTCCCGGGGCTGCAAGCTTCGAGATCACCTGCTCCCTGCACTGCCCCCCACCCCAGGGGTCCCCTCCGAGACTTCACTCTCTAGTCGGGCAGGTGTGCCGCCCCATCCATCCGACCGCCACCAGCAAGGCTCTCTCCTCCAGCCGGGCCAGGGCCCCAAGTTACCCTGCCGCGGTCCACTCTCTACTCTCTCCCCCACTGCCCCTGGGCCATCTTCCCCTCTGGACTTAGAACCCCTTAAGGACAAGGCCCAGGCTCCCGGTGTCTTAGAGTGGCTACTGTGGCCCAGGCTGACAAGCGTCCAGAGTAGATAAGAGAAGTGGCAGACACTGGAGGTCCCAGCCGGGGCGCTGGGCTGCTGGGCTCCTCCTCTCCTCCTCCTGAGGTGGCTCTGCCAAGGGGACAGCTCCCACCTGCCGCCTGCCTGTCCCCTGGCCTGGCTCAGAGGACTTCGGGCCTCACGCTGCCCAGCCCTCCTTCCAGTTGACCTTGCTGTGCCCTCTGATGCCCCACGAGAGTTTTGGGCTCCTTGAGGCAGGGCCTGGGAAGCACACATCAGTCTCCGTGGGGTGGAGCTCAGATCAAGTCTCTGGCCAACGCCCCCCCGCGCCCCAGATTCCCACAAGCCTCCTGGCCCTGGGCGTCTGCCCCCCCAGCTCAGCCTGCTCCCTCCCCTGCCTGAGTCGCCAGGCCGCGGAGGCTCTCCTGGGGATCCTGTGAGATGAGCCTTGCCTCTGAGCGAGTGGCCGGGAAGCAACACGCGGGGACTGCGTCTCGGCTGTCCTTACCTGTCGGCTGCCGCTGCTGCCGCCACACCAAAACCGACTGACCTGGCAAGTGCGTAAAATGGGCAAGTGCCTTCTCTTTAATACCTTCTCTTTAAAGCTCCAGCTGCTGTGTTCCGGGGGCCTCCACCTCTTTGTCCAGCTGCCTCCCCTCCCACCACCACAACTATCCAGATCTGGGGGTGATGTCATCAATCCAATTTATTGATCACGTCCTCAGTGAGGTGGAGGGAGGGTCACGTCCTCCAGCTGCAGACCTTCTGGCCATCCTGACAGCTTCTGCCGCCTCCTGTCCCCTCGCCCTGCCTTGGTTTACCCACCGAGAAGGGGGAATCTTCCGCTGTCCTACATGCCCTGAAACTAACGCCCAAGAGGAGGCCGGAAAGCTCGAGGCAGCTTCCCAGCTCCCCCAACCGCCGACGCACAGCCAGGGGCAGAGAGATCATGAGGATCCGGACAAGCAAGGCAGGGGGACGCAGGGGTAGGACAGACCAGAGTCCTTTGCCACAGAGGAGAGAACCACACTGTGGAGGACAAATAAATAGAGGGGCCCAGGGCAGTAGAGTCCAGGCCCCCAGGGGCGCACTGACTGCGGGAGCAGCAGGAGAGCGGGAGCCCTGGCACCCCGGGCCCCGGGCCCCTGGCCCGCCTCAGCCACTGAGAAAGACACGCTTGTAGGCCTTGTTCATCTGCTCCAGGAAGATGAAGGTGAGGACGGTGTGTGGGCCCAGGCGGGCGTAGTACGGCGTGAAGCCCTTCCAGAGGCTGAAGAAGCCCTCGTAGCGGACAACCTTCACCAGCACGTCCTGCACAGGTGGGCAGGGCGTCGAGGCTAGGACCTGGCTTCCAAGGCCGTGGCCGGCTTCCCCAGCACCCTCCCTGCCCTCCCAGAGCCCCGAGCCCCACTGCCTCACCAGCCCGTTCTTGTACTCCGGCTTCCCGTCAATCATTCTCATGTTCTGGATCCTGCAAGAGAGGCAGCGGCGTGAGAGACACACAGAGCGGGGCCTCTCATCTGCCTCCGGGAGCCGGCCCGCACACTCACCGGGTCTTGACGATGTCCACAGGCATGGAGGCAGCCGTGGTGACCAAGCCGCTGATCATGCTGGCGCAGAAGTGGCAGAGGATGTTGTCAGAGAAGTAGCCTGGGGGAGGCAAAGCAGGGGTGGCGGTCAGCGCGGAGCCGGCCGGGCCAGGCTGGGGTGCCCTCGCTCCAGGGCTCACCTGAGTCCAGTAAGAACTGCTTAGACTGGGAGTAGGAGGCGAGCTGGGCCGCGTTAACCACAACAGCGCGAGCCATGGTAGGGATGCAGCCCTGTGGGGGGTGGGATGGGGGGGGTGTGGTGTCAGAGACAGCCAAGAGCTGCCCCCTGCTCCCCCAAAGTCTCCGGCCCCTTCACTCACCCTCCATAGCGTGGGGACCCCCTCCTCTCGGGCGATTCGGATCAGAGCATTAAACACGTTTTTGTAGCCACGGCGCTGGTCAGGAGGAAGCCTGGTGAGAAGGCAGGGAGAGGCCAAGCTCAGGATAGCCCACCCTGCCCCACAGGAGCAAAGAAAGGGGGGCCAGAACATGGGCGTCACTGCTCTGCTCCAGACCAAGGATAAGGAGTCAGTACACTGACGCTGGATCCCAGAAAACGAAGCTGGTGCAGACTCAGACCTGGAACTCACCGGCCATCGGCGGTCATGCGGATAAGAGCCACCTCAGCAGGCGTGCCCACGAAGGCACCCGTCGCACCTGCCGTCATGCCGATCAGGGCCTTTAGCAGAAAGCCAGGCGGCGTGCCGTCCGCCCCAGTCAGGCGCTCAAACAGCACCGTGTAGATGCCGAGGCGGGTGGTGGTGTAGGTGGCCTGGCGCAGCAGACCAGCCGACAGCCTGGGGAGTGAAGAGGTCAGGGCATCAGGCCAGGGTCTGGAGCTGCCAAGCCGCCCTCTCCCACCAGCACTCCCCCGTACCCAGTGTAAATGCCCCTCAGCCCCTCCGCCCTCAGGATGCTGGTGAGGGCATGGAAGCTGGTCTTGTACTCCCGCGTCTTGGCTCCCTCCCCGCTCAGCTGCATCCGATTCTTCACCAGGTCCAGCGGCTGCACAAACACCGTCGCTCCCATCCTGGAGGAAGACAGAAGCGGAGTCCAGAGCCTGCTGGAACCTGGCAAGGAGGGGCCACCAAGCTCCACGCCCACCCCGTGATTAAGTAGGTGTCCAGAAATCTGGTGGTTATGTGTTTATGTGTCCGCCTGTGCCAAGAGCCACGGGTCTGAAAAAGTCCAGTGGCGGGGGGGCATGCAACGGCAAGTGCTCCACTCCGCTCCAAGGGGTCAGGCATGATCTGGAGCGGCCTGCAGCCCACCCCAGAGAGGAGGTGGGCGCTCGTGACCTGGGAATTCACGCAGCCCAACAGGAGCCGGGTAAGGATCTGGTGCCCCACAGGACCTGGTAGAGCCGGGCACCGGTCCGGGAAGCTCAAGTGGCCCGACGGGTCGTGCAAGGAGCCTGCACACAGCCCAGCAGGAGCCTCGCAACGGGGGAAAAGGAACTGGCAGCCCACCAAGGACCTCGGCGTACGCCTGGGACCGCGCTGGCCCCGTGCCGACCCGGGTCCCCGCCACCGACCCGCAGCCGTCCCTTCCTCCTCCCTCCCGACGCCAGGGCCTGAGCTTACCCGGCCAGACCCCCAAACAGGAACTTGACGGACTTAGGGGACGTGCGGGGCTTCGCGTCTACCCCGCCGGCCCCGGGACTCGCCGTGGCCGCCATCGCCGCTCAGGGGCCCTCGGCTCCGGGTCCTGTGCGCGAGCGGCCCCACTCGCGCCCAAGGTGACACCGCGCGCGCAACAGAGCCGAGGGCGCGCGCACGCCCCTCCGGCTCTCGGGGCCAGCCCCAGCTGGAAACCGGCGCAGGCGCAGGCGCGCGGCGCAAAGGCCGCCGGGAGCAAGTCAGAGCCGGAGGCGGAGCTTCAAGGAGGTGCTGCGGGAAGGGGTGTGGCTGGTTTAGGAAGCCGGAGTCCAGACGTACTTTTCGCTGAATTGGACTCGCGGGAAAACAGTGTCAGGAGATCTCGCGAGACAGAATGAGCTAGGGAAGCCGGCGGGAGCAGGGCTCTCTCGCGATAGGAGCAGCAGGCGTTCCCCGGCGGGAGGGACAGCGTGGGGAGGACTCTCGCGAGACCCGAAGGTGCCGCAGCCGCGGCGGCGGCGGGAGAGGGCGAGAGGTTTGTTAAATCGGACACCTCCCAGGTCCCGGGCATGGGGGGGAAGGACTGGATCGTTCTCTGGGGTGCGGCGCTCGCTGCATCTGCAGATGCACTCCCTCCGCCCTGACCTTCCTCCGAACGGCCCTTTTAGGACCGGAAGTCCTTTCTCTCGAGCGCCCAGGGCTGGAGGCCGCTGGACTCCTTCCCGGAAGCCCTTCCCCGGCCGCGAGGACGCCGGCGCACCTGCCCGGAAGTCCCGCCTCCGTAGCGCCCCCGCCCCGCCCGAAGTTTTCCTGTCACCTGTGCCTGCCGCCGTCCCCGTTCCCGGTCTTGTCCCTGTACCCGCGAGCGGCGCATTGAGTGCCTCCCGCCCCGCCGCGCTGACCGGGCTGGGCACCGCACGCCCGCACTCGGGGCCCCTCCCCCGCGCCCCCATGTAGCTGGGAAGCGGGGCCTGGGGGCGGTCGGACCCCCGGGATCCTGAGGGAGGGGTGGAGGGCGCAGAGCCCCGCTTCTGCTCCTGCTACGGGGCGCGGCCCGCCCGGCCTCTCGCGCCACTGCCATGCGCCCCGCGGCCTTCCCGCTTCCTGTGGTGGTGGCCGCCGTGCTGTGGGGGGCGGCCCCGGCGCGGGGGCTCATCCGAGCGGTGAGTGGAGGGCCGGGGGCGGGGCGGGGGCGGGGCGCGGGGCCGCGGCGCTGGGGAACACGGCTCTCTTGCCCGCAGACCTCGGACCACAACGCCAGCATGGACTTCGCGGACCTGCCCGCTCTCTTCGGGGCCAGCCTGAGCCAGGAGGGCCTGCAGGTGAGGGCCCCCCCAGATCTCTCTCTCTCGGGGAGGGGCTTGCGGAGCCTCGCCCCTGCGGAGCCTGGAGCCGGTCCGGGGTGGGTCCAGAGTCTGGAGTAGGCGGAAGACAGAGTCCCCCGCGGGCGCCCTGGAGGGGCGGGGACGAGGGCGACGGCGGGGCAGAGCGCCGCTTCCAGCGGGGTCTTACGACGTCGCGCAACTCAGTGACCTCCCCGCGGCTTGATTTGCTTTCCTGGGAAATGGGGCGAGAGGCGTTTTCTCAGGGTTTTGGGGAAGTCCGGTGCCGTAAGCAGTGCTGACCTGCTTCACCGTGAGGACAGCCGGCCGGCGAGTACGCCGGCGAGCACGCCCGGCCCGGCGTCCGTGCGCTGGTTCGTTAGGTGGTGGTGGATCACTGAGCGCGAAGAAGAGAGGACACGTGTACGTGTGGGAACCTTCAGGGTCGTGTCGGCTCTGGCCCACAGCTCATGAGCTGGGTAGCATCCCCTGTGGCAGGCAGGAGGAGCTTCTCGGAGTTGCGGGGGAAGAGAGAGGCTTTGGTAGGCACGAGGTGGCAGGACAAGTAAGTTACGCTCGGTTTAGAGCTGAGTGTGGCAAGACTCTCTCCAGCGGATGGCCTGTGGCCTGTCGGGCAGCTGGCCCTGCGAGTTCTGACCCGCTCGTTCCAGACGGGCTGCTTTCGGTGCCGTTCCTGGGGGAGGCTGGAACTAACTCAGGAAGTCAGTCTGGGTCCCGGGCTTAGCACAAGTGGCTCCATTTGGGGCCTCTGGCCGTTTTCTTAGCAGAGGGGACTGTGTTTTGTGGGAGTGTGTGCTGGAGACGGGGGTGGGACACGGAGCTGGAGAGAGAGTGACTTGGATGAGTGCAAACTTAGTTTATAATCTGAGAATCTGAAAGGCAGAATCTGAATTAGCTTGGTGTGTGGGGTAGAAGCTCCCCCGGGACAGGGAGAGGGATGGTGGGAGGTCTGGCCAAGGGGTGTCGTGTGATGTCCTTGCTTCTTGGGGAGGCAGACTTCTGACTTAGGTAGGACGCTCTGGGGTGAGGAAGTGAGGGACGGCGCATGCGCAGCACGGGGCAGCCAGTCTGCTTGGTGGGGCCCGTGGGGCGGTGAATCCAACTGTTGTTTTCCTTCTCTTCCTTTCCCAGGGCTTCCTTGTGGAGGCTCAGCCCGCCAATGCCTGCAGCCTCATTGCCCCTCCGCCCCCAGCCCCGGTCAACGGGTCAGTCTTTATCGCACTGCTTCGAAGATTCGACTGCAACTTTGACCTCAAGGTTGCTGAATGCGCAGTGGGAGCTGGGAGCTGAGGGTGACAGAGGTACCCGGCACGAAGGGAGGCAAGGGCCACAATGGCCCCTTACTCCCTGCCTTGTCCCCCAGGTCCTGAATGCTCAGAAGGCGGGGTATGGTGCAGCGGTGGTGCACAACGTGGGCTCCAACGAGCTTCTGAACATGGTGTGGAACAGCGGTGAGGTTGCGGCACCTGGGCGAGCTGGGTTTTCGCTAGAGCTCAGGCTGAGATGTGGGTGGTGTGGCCGCCAGCTTGGGAGAACAGTCCGTCCTTGGGGCAGGGTAGAGCAGGAGAGCCGAGCGCCAGGGTTAGCGCTGGAGCGGAGCGGAGGGCTGGGTTCGCAGCGTCGTGCACTGATCCCCGCAGAGGAAATCCAGCAGCAGATCTGGATCCCGTCTGTGTTTATTGGGGAGAGGAGCTCCGAGTACCTGCGTGCCCTCTTTGTCTACGAGAAGGGGTAGGACGCGTCCCTCTTTCCCCCTCTGTCTTCAGCCCTTCTGTGCCCACCTGGAGCCCACGCCTCCGTGCCCTGGCCATTCAGCCTCCAGTCCTTGTCACGGTGCCTCGAGACTTTCCTCCCACCTCCCGTTCTCGTCCGTGGGCCCCATCCAGCATGTTAACTTTGTCCCTTTACTTTTCCTGCTCCTCTGATCCTGGCCTTCTTTTTCCCAGGGCTCGGGTGCTTCTGGTCCCAGACAACAGCTTCCCTCTGGGCTATTACCTCATCCCCTTCACAGGCATCGTGGGCCTGCTGGTTCTGGCCATGGGAGCGGTAATGGTGAGTAGCTCGGGGTGGGGGACAGACAGCAAGAGCTGCAGCCTTTAAAGCCAGACTGGGTCTGTGCGTGGGAGGTTGGGGAGGGGGCTTGTACTGGATTTGCCCTGTTTTGTTCCCCTTCCCCAGGTAGTCCGTTGTATCCAGCACCGGAAGCGGCTCCAGCGGAATCGACTGACAAAAGAGCAGCTTAGGCAGATCCCTACCCATGACTACCGGAAGGGTGAGGGGCTCGGGCGGAGGTGGGGGCCTTTCCCACGGCTCACCTGGTGCTGAAGGAGCTGGAGCTCAGGAGACAAGGGGCAGGGATGGCAGGTGTCAGCCTAGGATGCCGGCTTTTTCTTTCTTCACCCGCATGCGCGGTGAGGTTGGGACAGTAGAGCAGGAGGTGGAAGGCACAGGTGGTTAAATGCAAGAGTTGGGGGGAGAGATGGATGACGGCCCTTGCCGGGAAGGGAGCTGAGAGCAGACAGACGGAAGCAGTGGGGAGGAGTTGGTGTGAGAAGGAAAAAACAGGTAAGGAGGGGTTGGGTCTCCAGGCCCTGGAGCCTCCAGTGCCCATATAAGGCTAAGCAGAAGCCCTGCCCCCCCACTTCCGCCCCTCCACTCCCTACCTCCCCACCCGTACACCTCCCCCCACAGAAACCCACTTCCCTAACCCCAGATTCTTTGGGTTCTACTGTGGCCAGGGAGGGTATCTGGAGGGTTCAGCGGCACCACTCCCAGAGTTCTCGGGGGCCTTGGTCCAGGATGGCTCAGAGACAGGACTTTCTTCCTGCCTCAGGAGACCAGTATGATGTGTGTGCCATCTGCCTGGATGAGTATGAGGACGGGGACAAGCTGAGAGTGCTCCCCTGTGCTCATGGTGAGGCCCTCCCCTCCCGGCCCCGCCCCGAGCCTCCCGAGCCTCCCAGCCCTGCCGACAGTAGGTGCCTCACCCCCCCCCCCAACCTCCCCCCCCCCCCCCTCAGCCTACCACAGCCGCTGCGTGGACCCCTGGCTCACCCAGACCCGGAAGACCTGTCCCATCTGCAAGCAGCCTGTGCACCGTGGTCCGGGGGACGAAGACGAGGACGAGACTCAGGGGCAAGAGGGTGATGAGGAAGGGGAGCCAAGGGACCACCCTGCCTCAGAGCGGACCCCGCTTCTGGGCCCCAGCCCCACGCCGCCTGCCTCCTTTGGCTCCCTAGCTCCAACTTCTCCTGTTCTGCCGGGATCTTCGACAGATCCCCCACCTGCACCCCCTTCCTCTTCAGCTGCCATCCTGGTCTAACAGTCCCCCGACACCCCCCCCACGCACCCCTCCCATGACCTATTTGCACAGCCCCTCATCCTCGCTCAGTCTTCTGTGTTGAGGGATGGGGGGCATTTCCACCCCAGGTTTCTCCCTCCCTCAACCCCATCCTTTTGAGGGGTTGGGTCTGGAGAGGGACTGGGTCTTCACTTACTGGGTCAATAAAGTTTTTGTGAACTAAGGAAGGGTGAGATCATTCTCACACACATGCACTCCTTTTTGGGGAATCGACCCCCCCTTTTTTTTTTTGCCATAAAGGGGCAGAGGTGTGCTGAGAGAGAACCTGTAGCTATGGGGACAACCCCAGCAGGCGATTACTGTGACTCAGAGAGGGGGAGCCCCACCCACATGGGGATGACTCAACCGGCCCTGCCTTGCCCACAGGCCTAAACCCATTCTCTGGTCTGGAAGACTCTCCCATTATCTACCAATTCAGCTAGCACCTGAGGACTTAGGACTCGGAAATGCCACCGAGTAAGGGCTAGCCCACCCGGGCAGGTGGACCCAGGCCGGTGCTTACCCCAGGGCAGGACTCGAGGAAGCCCAAGTTCCTAGACCCTCTCATGCCCTCAACCCTCTTCTAAGCCGAAGGGTCACAGGGACCATCCTGACACCCAGGCCAAACCACACAGCACCTTGTTAGTAGAATCTTTTTTATTCAGAAAAAAAAAACCCAAAAAACAAAAAAAGTCTTCCAACCACACACAGGAGGGGTTTGGGTAGGGGGAGGTGTCTGTCCATCCAGCCCCAGCCCCCAGCCCATGTGGTTTTGGCAGCAACAAGGGGTGTGGGGTAATGGCCCAAAAAATAAAAATGGTATATGTGTGTGTCTGGGAAGGAGAGGGGTGCAAAAGCCGTGGGGAGTGGTGGGGGGTAGGGAAGGACGAGGTCAGTACTGGGAACGCCGCAGGTGGGAAGCCATTTCATAACATTTCTTGTTGATCATACCACCATGGACACCTTCTTTGCCCATCAGCAGGACTAGCGCTGGAGAAAAGAGAAAGGAGGCTGGGACCCAGGTGTCACAATTCCACCCCCTGCCAGCTGTTGAGCAGCTGTCCAGCCCTGGGGCTGTAACCCAACCGCCTCTCTCCCAGCACCCCCCCCAACCACAGGCAGGCTGTCAGTCACTCTGGAACAATAGGGCTTTTCAAGAGGGGGAAATCAAGCTTGGAGCTGGAGAGGCTCCGCTAAAATTCAGGGGCTGAGGCTGGCAGGTTGGTGACTGGGACTCATGCTAGAAATAACCCGGTGGAGCCTGCCACGCCACATCTTAACAAAAGAGTTCAAAAGACAGAGCTAAATGCCAACTTCTGGCCACCCTGTCTACCTCTCCCAAGAAAATAGGGTTTCCCCTCTGAAAAGGTTCAGGGGCAGGAAGGAACTTAAGAGGTAATACAGTTCGACTTCTTTACATTTTTGAGAGGAGGAACTGAGAACTGGAGGAACCATCCAGAGTCCCAGCATCAGCAGGCTGGTGTGATCCCCTCATACTGGGGAGCCGCACAGAAGAAGAACCCAAAAGACCAACAGGAGGTACAGGAGGGATCCCAGAGCTGGGAGAAGGTTAAGAGCCAGAAACTCACTCTTGGCAGTCATGGTGACAGTGATGTTGAAAGTGGGGGCTCCACCAGTGCTCTTGGTACGAAGGTCCATGGTGAACTCCCCATCCTGCAGCAGTGAGTCCCGGATAACAGAACATTTCTGGCCCCCAAGTGTCAGCCCGTTCACGAAAAAACTTGACCGGTCTTTGCCAACCAGGACACCAACCTCAGCTGGCTGGAAGGGGAAAGGGGCAGCCATCAGGTTAGTACAGCAAGGTTCCCACCGGCTTCAAGGATCCACCCACCCTCCACATCTCCCCCCAAAGGAGCTCTATGTCCCCTGCTCTGTGCACATCTCCGGGATTTGAGAACCTCTAGAGGGGACCTGCTGAGCGACGGGGCAAACCTAGGAAATGCTTACAGAAAGAGACAACACGTTCCTCTGGACACCTCGATCTCACTTAATAGGAAAAGCAAACCCAAGAAATAAATGGAACCAAAAGCCAGGGAGCAGAGTGGCCCGGCATGGAATGGGGAGCCTTTGGATGCACACCACTCTCCTTCAGGAAAAGCAGAAGCGAAGAGGGGAAGGGAGGGGGCGGGCGAAGCAGGAGAAGCAACTTTGCCCTTATTTGGTCAAAGGTTCTGCAGGAGTTGCTAGGGGCCCGGACGCCTGGGTCTCCTGGTGACTTAGGGTGTGGGTCCAGGTAGCGGTGCCCCGAAAGGAGGAAGCAGATCCCCGGGGCCTTTCCGGGGAAACTGGAAAACTTGGGAAGGGGGCGCGGGGCCAGAGCCGGCCACCCCGCAACCAGGTCCAGACACCCCAGGGAGCCTCTCCCCCTCCCCCTAACCCCCCAAACCCCCACATCCGGTCCCCTCCCGCCCGGAAATCCCCTTCCCCCCCCTCCCGAACTTCCGCTCCCCCTCCCCACTTCCGGGCAGCGCGGACAGGGAGGTGGTGATGGGGCCGGCAGCCCTCATCCCTCATTCCTTCACTCGCGCGGCCTCCAACTTCTCACAAAGTTCCCCCGCTGCGGGCCCCGCCGCATGGCGGGAAGGGCGGGCGCGGGGACTTACGGGACGGGCCTCCCCGGAACGCGGGGCGCACAGCCGACCCCGGGGGGCGTGGGGCGGCCTCGCCCTCTCTCAGGGAGCCGGGAGCGCGGGGAGCCCCGGGCGAGCGCGGCGGCCTCCCGCGGCCCGCACGGGGAACAATGGTGGTGGGGCGCGAGCCGGCCGCCGGAAGCGGGGCCGGGGGTCCCCCCAACGCCGCCCGGTGCCCGCGCCCGCCCCGCCCTGGCCGAGGCGGAAGTGGGCCTCCGCACCGGGCGGCGCGCCCCTCCCCGCCCTGTGCCCCGGATGTAACGCCCCGTCGCGGGCAGCGGGGAGCGGGGAGCGGGAGGGATGGGCGCCGCCGCCCCGGGGCGCGGGTCTCGGGGCCGCGGGGGGCCCGCTCACGTGCGGCCGCCATCGGCGCCGCCTCCAGGGCGAGGACCCGGTCGCGGCCCGCGCCCGCCCCCACCCGGGTCCCTCCCTCTCCGCGTCCGCGCCGGCCGGTGCCCCGGGGCGCGCGAGCCTCGCACTACCGTGATGTTGACGAAGGTCTTCCCGGGGACGGCGGCCCAGACGGAGGGCGAGTCCTTATAGCCCACGATGGCCGCGTCCTGACAGGTCCCGTCCGCCATGAGGTTGTCGATGTAGGCGTTCCACCCGGCCATGGCGCTGCTGCGGGGGCTGCTCTCGGCGCTGCTGCTGGGGCGGCGGGCTGGGCTCGGAGGCCTCGGGCTGGCGGGCGGGGGGAGGCGGAGAGCTCGGGGCGCGCGCTGCCGTCCGGACCGCGGCTCCGCTAGGCTGTGCAGCAGCCCTCGCACCGCCACTTCCTGCTCCTCCCCCCCCCCCCCGGATTTTTATTTGCAAAGGGCGGGGGGCGGGGCCTGCTCCCCTTTCCCTCCCTCCCCCCCCCCGCCTGCCCAGAGACCGAACTTTGCAAAGGCGATTTTAAAAATCCCTCCCCCTATTGCAAAATTTGCAGAGTTGGGTGGAAAGCCCTGTGAAAGGATGGGGGGCGGCGGCGGCGGGGGCACTTAGGGTCAGGGCTCGCCCCGCTTCGCCCCGAAAATCCGTGAGACGCCGGTGTCGGGGAAGGCGGCGAGCCCGAGGCGGGCAGGGAAATGAAGGGAAGGCGAATCGGCGAGCCGCGCCGGTGGAGGCGGGTGCGGGGCGCGCAGGGTTAAACGGACCGGCTCCCCCTTCCCCCACCTCCGCCCCAGGGCAGGAGCGGCGGCAGCTGCGCGTGCGCCTGCGCCTGCGCGGGGCCGAGCCGGGCTGGAGGGCGCGGGGCGGTTGGGGCTGGCGGCCCGGGGCGCGGGCACATGGGGACGCGCGCGGGTGCGCGCGCGACGGGACCCCCCGCGGAGGCGGGCGGGCCTGGGACGTGTCTCCCGCCGGGCGGAGAGGGCGGGGGCGCGGCGCGCGCGGGCCCGCTGCTTCCCATCGGTTTTATTCAGTCCAGAAGTGCGGGAGCTCAGGGGGAGGTGGCCGGGGCCGGAGTTGAAGGCGCCCACCGGGGGCCACTCGTGTCCCCAGGATCTGCCCGAGGGGCACAAGCCGGGGCAGCTCCAGCCCCCAGGCAGTCCTTGGTCCCGCGTTCCGGCCCCGCCCGGCCTCTCCCCCAACACACACACACACACACACACACACACACACGGCCAGCAGTTCGGGTCACCGGCTGTGCCCCTTGGCCCGGCGCGGCAAAGGTCACTGAGCGCGGGAGACGGGGGCGGGACTACTTTTCCGGGCGGAAGAACACCGGGGGGTTGCAAGATTTGCAACTTTTCCGAAAAGGGGAAAGTCCCCTCCCGCTCGGGCCCCTCGGGTTCTTTCTTCTTTTCGGTGAAACTTGTGCTGAGAAGTCGTGCGCGCCGTGGCAGGGAGGGGCGGCCGGGGTCCCCACCACTGACCAGGTGAAGCCGCCCGCGCAGCCGCGGGGCTGGGCCGCTTCCGGCCCTGGGGGAGGGGCGCCCCGCCGGTCGCCCCTGGCCACCGACGCCCCCCGGGCCCGTTCCTCGACAGCCGCGCGACTGAGTCACCGGGCCGCCGGGTGGGGCCGCGCTCGGGCACGTGGCGGCTCTCCTCGCCCGCCGGCTCCTGAGCTCTGGCCCGCCGCGCCCGGAACCCCCGCTGGAGCACTCCGGGAGGGCGCGGCCCAGGCTGGGGCCGTGGACAGGGCGGGGGAGGGTCGAACCCCCAGGGGCCCGCGGGCCCGGACCTGAGCTGCGGCCCCCCAGATCCGCGCCAGGCTCAGAGGCGCGCAGGGGCCACCCCTCCTCCCGCCATTCATTTTGCGCCCCGCTGAGGAACCTCATTCACGGCTGGGCTGGGGCCGCGCCCCGAGGCGCCCGCCGTCGGCCGGGAAAGGGTCTCCTGGCTGCCGCTCCGCACCCGGGGCGACAAGTGCTGGCCCAGCGCTATCAGTAGGGAGCCACGCCAAGTCTGAGGGCCCATCTAAATTCGGCTCCCTTACCCCTCCCCCACCCCCTAGCTGGCGCGAGCCGGGGTGGGGCCCAGAGAAGCCGCCATGAGAACCCTGAGAGGTGAGACCCTCTCGCCTTCCGAGTGGGAGATTCCATTTGAGATCACAGCGCTTGCCCGGGACCGCGGCCCCTCCTCCGAGGGAGGGCAGAGGCGGCCGGCGCCTGCCCAGTGAGCTGAGCATGTGTGGATGTCAGTCCTGCAGCCCCTCTTCCAGGCCCCCTCCCCAGCCCAGCAGGGTTCAGGTTACCCCTGGCCTTTACTAAAGGGCAGTAGTCCCTCTTTAACCTTTGCAAAAGGGGAATATAATCCTGGTGAGGGGAGAGACCCCCGATCTGAAGGCCCTTCCCTACCCCTCCCCAGGGCTGGAATTAAAAGTTGGGGCTTTTATCGGGGGACAGAGAGGAAGGAGGGGTAGTCATTGACCTTTGGGAAAGGGGCAGGTGCCCGGGGCGGAAGGCTGCTGCTTTCGGCTGTAGTGGGCACTTGGCTGCCAGCCCAGGGTGGAGGGGGAGGATGGAGAGGGGGAGAGGCGGGGCTGGCTGGGGCACAGGGTGCTTAGGGGATAAATGCCCAGCCTGAGAGGGGGTGAGCTGACACTGTCCCAGCTGCCACCTAGACTCGGAGCTCACCCCGAACCCCTCTCGAAGACATCCCAGGTCTGGTGAATCCTCCAGTCCCAGAGGATGGGGTGGGGAAGGGTGGTGCTGGTTTGGACAAAGTGGGAGAGCTGTCAGCTCTCTCTTCCTCCCAGGACTGGGGGTGCTTGAGAAAGACATGGAAGGGTTGGAGCAAGCAGGATGGGGGGTGCTCAGGGCAGCGCGAAGAGAGGTGGATGAAGGAGAGTGAGGGTTGGAGCCGGATGGGGACTTTGGGGTCTCCACGGATTTGGAGGAGACCAAGGAGCAGGAAGAGGAGAACCAGCATAGCAGGAGAGGGTCTGAGGGCCAGCAAGCTCGGTCTGAGGGCCAGCAAGCTCGGTCTAAGGACCGAGCGCCCCAGCAGACGGGTGAGGGAGAGGGCCTCAGGGCACCTCTGCTGGCCACAGGGGTCCATGAGGGTCCCGGGAGCCGTGCAGAGGGCTCAGTTAAAGGAGAGGCCCCTGGATCTCTAGGATAGGGGTGGAACAGGAGCTGTTCTGAGGGGGGGGAGGGGGCTGTGCCAGCCTCTTTGGTCTGTGACCTTTTTGTGGGATATTTTTAGCTCCCGCACCTGCCTTCTTGGGGTGGGGAAGACTCTTAAAGGGCAAGGGATTTCGGGTTCCTTCAGGGATCAGCTGTCCACATGCAATCACACCTCCTGTTTTGCAGCCATGGCCATGCAGAAGATCTTTGCCCGGGAAATCCTGGACTCCAGGGGCAACCCCACAGTAGAAGTGGACCTGCACACGGCCAAGGGTAACACAGGCCCCTGGAGTGGCTTTGCCTCAGAAGATCCTGGCCCCAGGGGTTCTTGCCTCCCCCCCCAGTTCTGCCCCATATCCTCTTTCTCTGGGATCACCTTCCCCAGAGTTCTTCCAGCCTGGCTCCCCAGGGCGGAGAAGCAGGAGTCTCCCTCTGCACCGGCCCCTGGCCCTGAGCTCCAAGAGCATACTCTGGCCCTTTGAGGGTGCAGGGGACCGTGTGTGACCTTCCCCTTCAACCTGCCCAGGCCGATTCCGAGCAGCTGTGCCCAGCGGAGCTTCCACGGGCATCTATGAGGCCCTAGAACTGAGAGATGGAGACAAATCCCGCTACCTGGGGAAAGGTGAGGGAAAGTGATGGGGACAAGCCTCCGTGTGCGGGTGGGGTCAGGACCTGGGCACTTAGCAGCTTTGTGGGGTATGGAGGACTGGAACCCAGCACTCTTGAGAAGTTGGGATCTGCGGGAAGAGGCCTGATTGAATCAGAGTTCTGAAACCCTCCCCCCGCCCCTGGCTTCTTTAGGGGTCCTGAAGGCCGTGGAACACATCAACAAGACCCTAGGTCCCGCTCTGCTGGAAAAGGCAAGAGGGAGCTCGCTGCCCACCCCTATGTCTCTACCCCGCCCCCCCACAGCTCAAGCCTGGGAGAGGCCTTGCTTCGCCAGACCACCCGTCCATCGTCTCCCCCAAATACCTGTACTTCCTCCCACAGCATATGCCCTGACTCCTGACAAACATGACCTCTGCTCTCCTCTCCCCTGCCCCCAACCTCTTCTTCCAGAAACTAAGCGTCGTGGATCAAGAAAAAGTTGACAAGTTTATGATCGAGTTGGATGGGACGGAGAATAAGTGTGAGTGGAAGGCCTGGGGAAGGGATGGGATGTGGCAGGGGTGGGAGGGACCCTGGGCTGGAGGCCTGGTTGGGATTACTTCTGCATCCCACGATTTAGGGCACACCGTGGCTGGCTGGATTTGTACTCACTCCACAGGCATTTCCTGGTGCCTGCCCACCGCCAGGCCTGAAGCTGACACATTCCCCTGGGGTGGGGGCTCCTGGGGGAGACCGCTCTTAGCACACCCTTCGGGCCCAGTGGTTTGGCCTTCCGATGCTCCCTGGGGTGACCCCAAGCCATGGGGGAGAAGCCCTCACCCTTTTTTTGTGCTTGCCTCCTCTAGCCAAGTTTGGGGCCAATGCCATCCTGGGCGTCTCCCTGGCCGTGTGCAAGGCTGGTGCGGCGGAGAAGGGGGTCCCTCTCTACCGGCACATCGCAGACCTGGCCGGGAACCCAGACTTGGTCCTCCCGGTCCCTGTGAGTGCAGCTGCCCTCGCCCCAGGCCACAGTGACAGTGACGGGGCCACCCCATCCAGGGAGCCGCGCAGCAGGGGCCCCTGGAGAGTCTACCTTCAAGACCCAGCTCCAAAGAAACGGTTTCCTGAAAGGGAACCTCTCGGGCTGCAGCCCGGCCCCTCCCTCTTTCCCACAATCCCAGCCTCCCATTAAGCCTCTCTGCTGCTTTCCCTGGACCTAACCACCACCCCCCCCCCACCGCCCCGTGTTCCTTCGCATTCCAGCGCTGGGCTTGGTGCTAACTGGGGTAGCTCACTGTGCCCTGTACCCCAGTCCGCGGGTCAGACGGACAGCGGCTTCAGCCGAGGGTCTGGCGTCTCCGTCTCCTTTAATCTTTATCAAATCCAGGCCCCTGGTTTAAGCCTTCCCTGCCCAGGCTGTCCTGGAGGCAGCCGGCTCTGCCTGTTTGCTCACGGATCTTAGAGGAGGTTGCCTAACCGCTCTCTGCCTCGCTTTCCTCGTCTATAAAGCGGGGGTGATGACAGGGTCTCGATAACGCAGAGAGCGAGCTCACGGACCCCATGGAAGGCTCCGCAGCGGCGCCACTGGCTGTCACAGACCAGGCGCCCATGGAGGCCTTGTTTCCAGTCTGTCTGATTTTGAACTTCAGACCCTGCGAGAAAGCGGGTGGTACTCCCATCTTGTAGAAACAAGGAGAGAGACCCTGAGAAGTCAGAGTGCTCACTCTAGACCCTGCGGCTGGGGATTCAGGATGCCAGGCTTCCACCTGGATCCTCCCAGCTGGCCCGGGTCTGAGCTGCCCTCCCTTCCCTCCCCATGCCAGGCCTTCAATGTCATCAATGGGGGCTCGCATGCCGGCAACAAGCTGGCCATGCAGGAGTTCATGATCCTGCCCGTGGGGGCCAGCTCCTTCAAGGAAGCCATGCGCATTGGCGCTGAGGTGTACCACCACCTCAAGGGGGTCATCAAGGCCAAGTACGGGAAGGATGCCACCAACGTGGGTGACGAGGGCGGCTTTGCACCCAACATCCTGGAGAACAATGAGGGTCAGTGTGAGCGCTCTGAGGGGCAGAGCCCCCGTGTCCCAGCGGAGGAGGGGCTGCAGGGACCGCAAGCCCCGGACCCTCAGGTCCCCTGTTGCCCCTCCCCCAGCCCTGGAGTTGCTGAAGACGGCCATCCAGGCAGCCGGCTACCCAGACAAGGTGGTCATCGGCATGGACGTGGCGGCATCCGAGTTCTATCGCAACGGGAAGTATGACCTCGACTTCAAGTCCCCCGACGACCCCGCACGGCACATTACTGGGGAGAAGCTGGGGGAGCTGTACAAGAACTTCATTAAGAACTATCCTGGTGAGAGCCCCCTCCTGCCGCGCTGGCGCTCCTGCCCGGGACCCCGGCGCCGGCCCAGCACAGGGACTGGGGCGCCTCCACGGCTCCTAAGGCCCGCCGAAATCCCATCTCGGCTCTCCGGGCCTGTGCCCCGCGAGGCCCCGCTGGTCTTTAACTGGCTCTCCCCCCCACCCCGCAGTGGTCTCCATTGAGGACCCCTTTGACCAGGATGACTGGGCCACCTGGACCTCATTCCTCTCGGGGGTTAACATCCAGATCGTGGGGGACGACCTCACAGTCACCAACCCTAAGAGGATCGCCCAGGCCGTCGAGAAGAAGGCCTGCAACTGCCTGCTGCTGAAGGTCAACCAGATCGGCTCCGTGACCGAGTCCATCCAGGCGTGAGTGCCTCCCGGCCCCCGGGCGGCCGCAGCCTCCCTCAGCCCCGGCTCTGCCTGTCCAGCTTCGTCGGATGTCCCCCAGCTCCTGCCCCGTCCCACCCTCCCGGCCCCAGAGCTTTGCCCCAGCGACCCTGCCGTGCCCCACTTTCAGCCCGTGGGGTTCCTCCCCCAGATCCTGCCCTTCCTCCCCACCAGTATCTCAGGAGCTCATGCTCGAAATCGAAATTCTCCCCTTCTTTCCTGCTTCCCAAGGAACTTAGTCATTCCCTTCCCCGCCAAGAGCCCACTGCCCCAAACCGAAGGGTAGAGCCCCACGGTGCCCTGGGCTTTCCCTCTGAGGCCCCGGTCGATCTTACCAAGTGTCCTTCCTGCCCAGCTGCAAGCTGGCTCAGTCTAACGGCTGGGGGGTGATGGTGAGCCACCGCTCCGGGGAGACCGAGGACACGTTCATCGCCGACCTCGTCGTGGGGCTCTGCACGGGGCAGGTACGGTTCCCAAGTGTCTGACGGGCTTTCTTGGGGTCCCCGGATTCCTGCCCGGGTTGGACGCCCCCGCATGCCGCTCCTACCGCCAGCCTCATGCAACCCTGGGAACCCTCCTTTCCTCCCCAGATCAAGACGGGTGCCCCCTGCCGCTCAGAGCGCCTGGCCAAGTACAACCAGCTCATGAGGTATGGGGGGTTGCGCAGCGGGCCCGGATGTGGGGGGCCTGGGCTGGTGGGGTTGGGAGGTGCAGCTCTGACTTGGCCTGCCTTCTAGGATTGAGGAGGCTCTTGGGGACAAGGCTGTCTTTGCCGGACGCAAATTCCGCAACCCGAAGGCCAAGTGAGAAGCTGCAGGCTCCGAGCCCCACCCCCGGGACCCATCCAGGCCTTCAAGCCTTTCCCCGTGGAAATAAATGCTGGTGGCAAACAAGACAGTGGCCTGCTCCTTGGTGGGACAGAGGGGATGCCAGTCTCTGGGTTGGCCACGACAGGAGGTAGAGAGGTGGGGCAGGAGAGGAGGAACACGAGGGTGACCTGCGGGGACCCAGAGGAAGGGGAGAGACGGGCTCACACTTCGGAAGGAGGCTGGGGGGAGCAGGGTGGGGGCCGGGGGTCTGAGCGCCCCGTGAGGGGAGGCTCCCTCGGATCTGTCTTTCTACCCACGGGGCGCACTGTGGGTCCAAGTCCAAGGGCTCATGCTCACGAAGCTTTCACCATCGGGCACCCTTGTAGACACTTGACATCTATGAACCAGCGCTGTCAAAGGGTTACGTTCCCCCCCCATCCTACGTGTGAGGAAACCGAGGCACAGAGAGCCTCTCTGACTGGAGGGGCCAGGAGTCAAAGCCACGGGCCCTTCGTGCTCAGCGAGTACACTCTTTCAATGTGATCTCCTGTAAACCTCTCCCAGGAAGGTGGCGGCGTCTGGCCGTCCCTGACCGGCACTCGCATTTTACACAGTTCGACCTAGAATCCTCTTCCTCCCTGGGACCCACCTTTCTCTGGCCAAACAAACCGGGACATTGGGTCAAACAGTGTTTATTGAACGTAAAGTCATCCCAGCCCCACGAGGAAGAAAATTCCAAGGAAAAAGGGGAATAATACACGTTAAATACCCACCTGCGTGTTCGCACACACGCACGCACACACACGAGCACACGCACACGTCCAGGCTCCAACAGTGACGCGTCAAACACAGGCCCCCCAGCCCAAGAGACGTCGTCAGAGGTGGTGCGGGGGGCGGGGGGGCTCCAGGATGGGTTCTAGTAGCAGCAGCCTGTCCCCCCTGCCCCCTGCCCTGCCCTGCCCCGGGGAGCTGCGGCGCCTAAGAGGTGGGTGGCAACTCTTCCCCACTCTGGCGCAGCCGCTTCTTGGCCCGGATCTCATTCATGGCCTCTTCGATGGAGCGCGTGTCCCTCTTGTTGGCCACAGGCACTGCGGGGTGGGAGAGGAGTGTGGGGAGGACCCAGGAGCTCTGCTTCACAGCCTCCCCCGACCGCCCACAGCCCTGTCCCGGCCGCCCGCCCCCACGGGGCCTCACCACAGCCATAGGTCTTGTTGGCCTGCAGCATGTGGGCTGCGTCCTTGGCCGCCCCCTTGCCAATGAGGTGGCTGTACTTGTCCTTGTAGTCGCTCGTGGGGCTCACCACCACGGGGCCCTGCTGGGCCGCCTCCTCCTCCTGCCGCTGGGCCAGCTCCTAGGGGTGCAGAGACGAGGCACCAGCGCTCAGGGGCCTGTCTCCAACCCCTCCCAGGGCCGGGCTGCCGGGCGGAGCTCACCTTCAACTTCCGTTTCTCCTCGGCCTTCTGGGGGTCCCACTCCTCGCCACGACGGTAGGAGTCCAGCTCTTCGTCGGAGGGCGCAAACTCCTGAGGATAAAGGAACCACGGGGTCAGGCTCCACAGCCAAGCTGCATCCGGCCTCTCCCCCTGGGGGGCATAGGCTGGAAAGGAGAGAGGAGGGCGGGCACTTGGGCCTTTCACCTTTTTGAAGATCATGACATAGCGACACTCATCATCTTCCCCGAAGGAGAAGGACGTCAGGCCAGCCACTTCCACCACATCGTGTCTGGGAAGGGAGGCCAGAAGGGAGAGTCTGGAGGGCCGCTGGGGCCCAGCACCCACTTCTCGGGGGCCCCCGTGGGCCCATTCACGCCTCCCCCAGCCCAGAGACACTCACAGGATGCTCCTCTCTATCTTGTTCATCGGCTGGAACTTTTTCTTGACCTGGCCGCTGTCTTGGATGAAATCTGACACCTCTTTCTCCATCTTGGGAGACAGAAGACGAGGACGTGAGCCCACGGCCCCACCCCAGGACCCCTTTCCCGAGACGGGCCAGCGGGCCTCGCCCCCTACACCTTCCCCAGCCTCCATGCCACTGGCCTCCAGACTTCTCACTGCACACATCTGGGAAAACCTGAGACCTCAAGCTTCCAACCCTAACTTCTAGAAGTCCTCCCTGAGGCCGCCTCTGCCAGCCCAGCGGGCTCACCCTTTTACGGAACTCGGCTTTCTGCTGCCTGTCTTGCTCCTGCAGTTTCTTCAGCCGGGCAGCCTGCTCTGGGGGGGAGAAACGGCAGCATGAGCCCGGGGCTGCAGCCAGGGGTGGTGGCGTCTGCGAGGCCTCACACGAGGTCTGGCGTGCCCTGGGAGAGCTGGGCAAGTGTTTCTTCCCCAGACGTCCGTGCACTCATTCTGTGCCTGGCACAGACACTGGGGCGAAGCCTGCCCTTCAAGAACGCACGCTTTAGTGGGAGTGACAAGGAGGAGAACCATGCTTGACCCCATTTCCCAGCCCCAGTGGGGAACCCGGTTCACAAGCATTTATTTCATGCCCACGACGCATGGAGACCTGAGACCGCTGGGGCGCTGAGAACAGAGGCAGCACTGCCCTCCAGGAGCTTCCCATCATGCTGTCTCCCCAGGAAAGGGGAAATTATTGAACTTCCTGTATTCTGTAACACTCCTGATTCTCACTTGCACCGACAGGAGGGTGCCGCAGTGGCTGGTCTGACACCCAGCTTCTTTGGGACTGCGGATGTCCCAGGTGAGCTGCAAGGGTGCTCCCCCAACTCTGGTCTTGGTGCCTCCTCCCCTCTGTCCTGCCACTTGGAATCCCCTGGGCTTCCGGCCCACCCAGCCCACAGGCAGGGATCCGAGGCCCCCTGCTGCCCCATACCGCTTCCCGTTTGCCTAACCCCTTGGTGCCTGTGCACCTGTGGTTCCTCCTCATGCAGACCAAAACCCACCGAGAGTCCGAGCTGTCACTGCCCCCCCCTGGGGCCCGAGCACGCTTGGGTCACAGACGCACTCTAGCGTGCGCCGAGAAGCTTCAGTGCAACGCCTCATCTGCCTGCCCGACGGACTGGGAGCCGCTGCAGGCAGGGACCCTGTTCAGGCCCCGCCAGTCCTTCCGGGTGGACGCGGCCGGGCGGCCTGGGGGCTCCCCTCTGTCTCATCTCAGAGCCCTATCCCCAGGGCCCCTATGTTGACCACTAACTGCTCTAACTGGCCTGCGGGTCTCTCCCTGCGTCTGGGGAGGTGGCCTCCGACTAAGGTTAAGAACGTGAGCCAGAAACAGCGCAGTTCGCCAGTCCCGGCCGGTTTACGACCCCACCGCTTCGGAACCCTGGGACCCCAGGCAAGCGACTGGACTCTGCACCTCGGCTTCCGGGTCCGGCCGCGGCCGCCAAAGCGCCCACGTGCTGCCCGCCCGGAGGCCTCGAACACGGTTCTCTGCCCAAAGGGGCAGGCGGCTCCCGCCCCGCTGAAGGTCCCGTCGGCCCCCGGACTACGCCCTTCGGGGGCTGTCAAACTCGGGCGTAACCGCTCCGTGCGCTGTCCGAACTGCGCGCTCCCCCACGCAGGGCGCGGGCCCCAGCCCGCCAGGGCCCCTAGCGCGGCCGCTCCGGTGCGCCCCGGCCCGCTCGGGGAACCGGGCGGGGAGGCGGCGGCCACTCGGACGGCCGCGGCGCCCTCGTGCCTCCAGCGGGCAGAGCGGCCCTGCAGCACCGGGGACCCGGCGACAGCCCACGAGGGAAGGGCGGCGGGGCCGCGGGAGGGGCTGGGGAGAGCAGTAGGAGGGGCGCAGCCCGGCAGGCCCGGCCACCAATCGGAGGCGCCGAGGGCGGGGTGCGCCCGAGGAAGGTCGGGCCAGACGTCGTAGGCGGACCCCGAAAGGGGGGCCAATAAGAGCGAAGAGGCTGCGGACCGGCGTGCCGCGGGGCCAATCGCAAGGCGGTTGGAGTGTGGGCCGCCAACACGCCCCCCCACAGCCCACAGGCGGGCCCAGGAACGGGTGGGAGGGGGCTGGAGGCAGCCAGCCAATCAGACCCGGACAGCTGCGGACGGGCGGGCCCGCCGGCAAATTGGAGACAAGGACCGCGGAAGGCCAGTAAGAAAGAAGGCAGGAGGCTGGCGCTGGGGTCCGGGCAGCCAATCACCGGCCGCTGAGGACAGCGGGCGGGCCGGCAGCCCTTTTAGGGACTCCGGGGATCTCCGTAGGGGCCTGTGAGGGGTCTTTCAAGGTTGAGGAGGCGGCAGCGTCCGAAGGGGCGAGAGTGCGGCCCTGAGAACTGGGCGAGGAGAGGCGGCTGTGGATTTGGGGTCCTCACCTCGGGCCTTGCGCCGAGACTCCTGGTCCCCGAGGCTGGGCGGCTTCTCCATGGAGCTCAGGATGGAGCCCAGCAGGTCCGCCATCTTGGGAGTGACTGCGGAGGGGCGGTGCGTCTTAAAGGGAAGGGCGAGGCGCCTTTAAGGCCGGAAACACGTCGGAGGCGGCACGCTCCGCGGCCCCGCCCCGCCCGCCGCGGCCCCGCCCCCGCCCCCGCCCCCCGGCGCGCGCAGACAGAGGCGGGAGGCGGGCTGGTGCAGCGGAGTTTAATGGCAGCGCGTGGACACCGAGCCCATGCACACGTAGACTTGCTCGTGGAGCCGGCCGGGCCCCGCCGCGCCGTGCTCGCTCGCGCGGCGCCTTAAATAGACTCTTCACTCTCTTCTGTATGTTACAGTATGTACAGGCCCCTTTCCCGGGCGCGCGGGGCACCGGGCGACCCCGCCGCGCGCCCCCCGCGGCCCGGGCCCGGGCCCCCCGGCAGCCGAGGGAGGGGACGCGCCGACGCGCGGGGTCGGGCGGGGCGCGCGGCGGGGGAGGAGCCGAGGCGGGCACATTCAGAGACGCGTCCAACGAATAAATAAGGCAAGTCGGGAAGGGCCGAGGCGGGCACAGGCGGAGGGGGAGCGCGGAGAAGGGGCAGGCGGGGCTCCGGACGTCACGGCGGGAGATGCTGGGAGGCGGGGGCGCGGATGTGCGGGGCGGGGGACGCGGAAGCGGGGTCGCGACCCATGGGGGAGACCTAGGGACGGGGACAGCTGCCGACAGGGGCTCCCCTCCCCGGGAGAGGCCTCTCGCTGTTGAGACTGCCAGAAGCG